TCTTCCCACAAAAAGGAAAACATTTTTTAACAATCAACTACATACTACGATCTGTGTATATATGGCTAAGCCTTACTTACAATCTTGTGTTACGCAGGATTTATTTCCATATGTTATTAATGGATGCTGGAACCTAATAATAGAAAAGCTTTAATCACAAAAGTAACATATCTACATGGTAAAACAAGAATTTTAGTAGTAAAGATTATTAACTAAAAAAGAAGTTTTCCCACTTCAACCAGCTCCCACCATCCTAATCCCAGCAAGTGGCTCCAGGTTCTGTTTCTGGCTTTTCTGGTAGCTAGCACCCAATGTTGAGTAATATTACCCGTCTGTTCTTGTTCCACCAACCCTAGATGGTATATAGATGCAACTGTACTGCTATTACTTTTCACGGTGCCTTCACTAATCACAACCAATTTTTGTAATACTACTATTTTTAAGTCTCCCAGGGGCTGATTACTTAACTTCATAAATTTAAAGCTACTTCTTAACTTCAAAAATGTGGTATTTATACATTTAAGATAGAGTCTGACTCTCCCCCAAGTATGATAAATAGAAACTGGCACACTTGCACGCCCCTTGCCTTCCTTCTCCCTTCATCCATCTTTGGCCTTCTTGCGGCGACTTTTCCATTGTCAAGGTTTTTGATATTTATATCTGGTTTTTAACCATAACTTAACTTGCCATGCTTTAGCTATGACTGATCCTAAACACTGGAAATGAATTAAAAACAATAACATTATATTATTTCACTACATTTGAAATTAAACAAAATAAAGTGTTCCAAGTGTCAAGGCTAAGTGTTTTCTTTTTTTAATCACTAAGAACGCAAGTCAAATTTTAGTTTTGATTTCCTTTTAAATGAAAGAGTTGTACAACATTTCACAGCTCATAGTATTACAGTATTATCATTATGAAACAACTATTTCAGATCCATTCATTCTGGTTTGGGGAAAAAAAGAGAAAAATCATACTAAGCCCATAGAGAGAGTACAGTAGCCACTGTGTAAAGAACGTATAGTTCCATAAGTCCTACAATCTGACACAGGTCATACTTTTGCTTGGAACAGAATAGATGTTAATAGACAACCCTAAAAGCAACCGAAGTATTTCATAATGAACAAATATTTAACATTCAAGTCTAACCTGCTTTATACTTGTCTGTAAGTCATATTTATAAGAAAGTAAGTTTAGCTGCTCTATCCTAATTTGATTCTTAATGTTCTTCCAAGGATGAGTTTCCCTATCTGTATCATAAATAAGATACAGAACCTGCCAGTTAGAATGGAGCGAATGCTTCCCTGGCTCGGAAGGCTGGCTTACAAATGGTTGCTTTTGGTTACAAGAGACCTGGCTAAGACAGCAAAGGCCAAACCAACTGGATGAAGATTTTCCCACCAAGAGAACATCTGTAGCAGCATCTAATCAAATACTGCATTTATATTTAGAAAACCAAGTTATTAAGCATAAATGTATTATATATTTTTTCACAAGTCACTCTTGTGACTTGTCAGTAAACACAAGGCTTCAATTCAAGAATGGGGTAATCCTGAAAGGTTAGCCAATCCTCTTCAGGTGTACAGAGTTCTTACCTTCCCAGAGTTTAAGAGTATAATAATGGAGTAAATCATAGGTGGCTAAGTCCTTTACTGCCTCTTTCAAGGCACCAAAAGATTAGCCATTTAATCACTCACCAGGCATTTACTGCATGTCTACTATGTGCCAAACACAGTTCTAAACAGAAGGAATAGAGTGAACAAGATGGCCAAAACCCCGTTTTCATGTTTACATTCTACTTGGGGAAGAGAGACAATACTTAAGTCAAACAATTATTGACTCTAAGGTCTTGAAATAGGCACAATTTAAGATGCAAAGGAGGGCAACACATGAGTGCCTGCCCTCAAAGACTTACAGGGCAGATGACATACACTTAGAAAAATTTTAGTGGAGGTTAGTCAACTTTCATACATTCAGCTTTGGTATAACTCATACTTTCACACATTCTACAATGAAATCCCTAAACCTATCTACACAAGCTGACTAACAGACTTTTGAAGTTTCTGCCCAGTGATATTGCCTATTGACTGCAAGTTCATTTTTGGTAGTCTCCATCTTTCTGTAACAGCATTATACTAATATTTTATTAATTTCATCCTAGTAACCCAAAATGCATCTGTTTCTGCGTCAACCTAATACTCTTACAAGACCTTCTACCCTCTGCACAGCCTCCCTCCTTACTGGCCCCCCCACACTCTACCTTTACTATTATGCTCTGGCCCCGGTGGCCTCCTTGCTGTCCCTGAACACAGAGTAAAAGCATCAAAGCACAGGAGACAATTGCTTCCATCTGAGGGCCTTCTATCCCTGGATTTTTCAGGGCTAAATCCTCACCTCCTTCAAGTCCTTGCTAAAATTTTGACCTTTTTAATGACTGCGTTATTTAAAGTGGCAAACGGGGTCCCCAGAACTCCCGATCGTCCACCTTCCCAGCTTACCTTTACCCCAAAGTATTTACTGCTTTCTCACACACAGCGCGTGGTGAATGATTAATAAAACTACAGCTTTTCTATGCTACACTAATCTCTGGGACTAATACAACAACCCACTATCCTCTGCGTCCCCAGCGCTCCCCAAGTATATTGCTCACTTAGATGTCCGGCTTACATGCCCATTTCCTGTGGAATCTGATTCAGAGTCTCACATGGAATGAGATATTTGATGTTTGTGAAATTAATGAAATGCCATGTCCTGAACAAAAGAAATTAAGTTTCTCTTAAAGCAGGCAATTTCTATGATAAAAATCACACAGGTAATTAATTGCAGATCCCTCTTTTTAAAGGACACCCTAAGGCAAGGTAAAAAGGCTCTTGCGTGATTCACACTTATTTTTTCTACAAAGACAATAAAGAGATGCATTCAATGGTGCCATAAAAATAAACATTATTTGAATGCACTCAAATCTAAAATAAAACAGGCCAAATTAATTAAAATCAGGTAGCAGGCTTTATGAGAAATGATATTTATGTTTACTTCTGGTTAGATTTTTATTATCCTGTATTTTGGAAGAGAAACAATACAGACAACAGAAGTTTGTCATACTAATTCAAAGTTTTAGGGAGCAATTTTTAAAATATATTATTTAAAATCTGGTAGTGGCAAGTTTAAAAAATGGTCATAAATTCTTTGAACCACCTGCCATTTGAGGTGGAGTCCAATGTCCCATGTCCTGCTACCTGGGCTGGCCTTAGTGACCTGACTGTTCACAGATCAGAAAAGGCCACAGGGGCTTCAGCAGGTCCCTCGGAACGGAACACCTGCTCTCCGAAGTGCTCCAAGTGCCCGAGGCATCATGCCATGAGGAGCACAGGCCACACAGAGAGGACACGTGAAGGTGTTCTGGTCAAAAGCCTCAGCTGAGCCTAACCTTCAAGTCACTCCAGCCCAGGTGCCATGTGAGTGAAGAAGCCGCCAGATGACCCCAGCCCCGAGCCATCTGGGTCTAACCCAGCAGCTCAAGCCCCGGATGCTGTGGAGCAAAGACAAGCCGTCCCGGCTGTGCCCTGACCAAATTCCTAACCCGCAGAATCTGTGAGCACAGGATGGCTGTTGTTTCACGACACTAAGCTTGGGAAAACGAGTGCTACTGCAAAACCTGTATCTAATTACTATATTTCAGTTTCTCACCACCTCGATTTCAACAGTTAGTACAGGTGAGTTACCCAGCGGTCACGTGTCACACAGAGCCATGCTCTGGGGTAAGCTAAATAAATGACCCAAAGTTAATTTTTCAGTCACCTAAAGCTGTGTGCTGCTTTAAGGTTGTACACAAGTAAGAGTGTTGAACCTATGTGAAGTAACTCGATAAGTGCTATCTATATAGACAGATAGCTAGCTATATCTCAGATCAAAGGACACTATTTTCAATTACACCATGCAGGAAGAAGATAACACTGTGACTGTCGTTAGGAGGGAGTTACTCACAAGGCTCCATGCTGTGTTCACAACATTAGTGAAGTGTTTTCTTTCTCCAGAAATCAATTCATTAAACTAAAAATGATCAACACTTCCAAAATCTATTTCCAAAAATCTCTCACTAGAGATAATAAGGATGTGTCACAGGTCATAAATAATATTAAGGTAAAATTCTGATTACAGTAAACAGGATTAAATCAATCTAAATCAGACATACCATTTTTTTGTTTCTCAGTGCAAGCCAAATCAATCTCACCAGTGTTATTTAACACAACAGTGGAGAGCTCAAGGCTGAGAATGTGACAGCTTTTAAAAGAGTAAAACTGATTTAGAAGCATTAAAAAAAACAAAAAGTATAATTAATGTGTGTCTCTTACAATAGAAATACTTTTAGAAATGAAAAAAACAAAACGAAAAAATCCAACTCTTGCCCTTTTAACTTTTCTACAGTTAACACTGCCCTCTAGTGATAAAGAATAAATGTCAACTATCAGTAAACATCACACTTCACTGCTCATTTTAGTATGTTTAGGTCGGGGCATCTAGCCTACAAATTCCACTAATGACAGAGTAAACAAATTCAAGATGACCTTTATTAGCTACTTCATGTTAAATTACAAACTTGTTTAAAAGGCATTAAACCAAGGATACAAATTAATGGAAACAGCAGCTTTTAAATACAATGAGAATGAAATATCACTACATAGTGAATTATATTTTCACATAAAATTGTGCAGTTCAAGAAAGACCCTATAGGCTTATTACCTGTGACTTATAAGGATTGGCAGGATAGTTACATTAAAGCCTCACTGTCTGCAGAGAAGAAAATTCAACCAACTTGTGCTCATGGCATGTGTATCAAACATGCTGAAAAGCGTCCACAGCACCCAAGGCCTTGCATACTTGCCAGCTTGTTGATTAGGGTACCTAACTCCTCATTCTAGGAAAAAAGCTCTAGAAAAAGTGTGTTTGGTTGCTAGGTATTTACCAAGCCCAGGATATTTTCCAAGGAAAGAACAACTTACCAAGGGTGGTGCCATCCTTCCCCATGATGCACTGCATCGAGGTGATGATCTGCTCCACAACAGGAGGTGACAGTGATGTGGCGTACACTGCGCTGTGGGAATGTGTCCGCAGATAGTCTATCAGTTCCTGGGGAGTTCACAGAAGCAAGTCATTAGAGACTATGCCTGTGCTCACTGGCAATGTCGCTGCCTACCTTCCAGGAGACAGCAGACTCCTCCTCCCTTCCACAGCTCTGGAATAGGGACACTAATCTGAGAAGCAACATGGTCAAAAGCACACTGTCAGCAACTGGGTCAGACACACAGCAACATCCTTAGGCTTTTAGGTTTTGCTTTTTAAACGTGCTACAACGTGGACAATGAGACACTAGTTTTAAAAAAGCCCTCTAAATTTTGAGGACATATCATTTAGTGTTATAAATAGATCAACAATGTTGAATTAAACAAAAAAGTGTTTTGATTACTTTTGGATACAATGGTTTACTTATAAGTACAATATTATAGAAAATAGCATCTGCATTTTACCCCATGTCTGCAAAACCCATCTTCGTACTCCCAAATCAGAGAAACAAAGTTCTCTAAATCAATTTTTAAGGCATTCAATATCCTCGACACAAAGATTTGGAAAATTCTATAAATGTGACAGAAATTCACTGGGTACTTCATGAGAACACTAAAGCCCGCAAAAAAGAATAAAGGCCCTAGCTGGAGTGGCTCAGTGGATCGAGCACTTGCTTGTGAACCAAGGGGTCGCCAGTTCGATTCCGGATGAGGACACATGCCTAGGTTGTGGACCAGGTCAGGTCTCCAGTAGGGGGCGTGCAAGAGGCAATCACACATTGATGTTTCTCTCCCTGTCATTCTCCCTCCCTTCTCCTCTAATAAATAAATAAAATCTTTTTTTTTAAAAAGAAGAAAGACCTTGTCTGTCAGATAAAAGGTTTTCAAAACAATCAGTTGTCTATCCCTAATCTCTGATACCTTCCAACTTCACTAAATCTTTAAATATTCACACACAAAAAACTTATGTACCAGAACCAAAACACAAAATGTAGTTTTCTACAGTGTTATCACTTCAAAAATACTCAAAACTGTATAAACCCCACAAAAGAATAAATATACTGTACCTAAATGATCTCCCGAAGTATTATTTTTCTGTATTCTGGTTTAGCAACAAATCTTACAAAAAAGCAATCAACTCTCCAAAGTGAGCCTGGATACATTAACAAAATCAGAGGTAAAAAAAACCTATCAAACTTGACTAAAACTACTGATAATGGATATTCCCTAAAAGGCAATCAATTGTTAAGAGAAAGTCCATGCTTTAAGATTTCCAGAGTTTTAAAGAGGACTTAAGAACATTTACAAGTACCTACTATGTGCCACATACAAATACTTAATATACATTGTTTTTTTCCTAAAATTAGTTTTTAAAAAATCACTTTTTAAAAGTGTACTTAGTGTTTTGTAGTACATTCACAGAGCTTTAGAACTTTCATCACTATGTAATTTTAGAAAGTTTTCATTACCTCAAAAAGGAAACCTCATACTCATTAGCAGTCACTTTCCACTTCCCCCATCTCCTCAGCACCTGGTAACCACTAACTTACTTGGTTTCTCTATGATTTGCCTAGTCTGGATGTATCATATAGAAGAAATAATATGTGACCTTTTGTGACTCCCTTCTTTAACTTAATGCTTTCAAGGTCCATCCATATTGTGACAGGGACACATATTACTATTCTTTAAACCCTTACTACAGTCTTAGAAGCCGGCATATATACCTCAGTTTTACTGATGAGGAAATCAAAAGGTTAAGCGCTTTGTCCAAGGTCCCAAAAAGGTAGGGAAATATTCAAACCCTGGCCTCTCTCTTCATAGTTCAAACGTTTCTACCACACCACATGCCTCGAATGCCTCAGAGTTCATTATATACTTTTAAATTGGAAGAAAAAAAAAATCAAAGCCTTATAATACACCAGAGCTAGCACGATAACCTTTTTTGTTCCTGTCTCTATGCTCATCCATGATGCGTCTGAGTCCAAGGGCACAGAAACTGGCCTTTTACCCGCAGCGGCCTTGTGCCTGCCCCACTGCTTCGAGACGGTGAGCACAACTCAACGCGGCGAAAGGCTGTGGCAAGCAGGCAGCACCACTGTGTGTTCTTTCATACAAGAGGGCATTCTCTATCTCAAGCCAGCATGTAGTTTGGAGTGCAGCTCAAATAAGAGAACAACAGACAATGAACAGAACCGGCCTTTGGTGCATCAGTGTCACTCGCCAGCCAGCTGAAGTGCGGCCGCACTGGCACTACGAGCCTAAGCCACGAATACACTCAGGACCTCACATCCCAGTTCGGGACGCTGTCTGCTCAATGACAGTGACCAAATCTAGTAGCCAGTACCTTTATCCGTAACTGCTCAGTTCTCATGGCCCATTTACCTTCTTGCCTCCAATGTAGCCTCCAGAAGCACCAAAGCTCTTGGTGAATGTTCCCATCATAACGTCCACATCCTCAGGATCCAGGCCAAAGTAATCTACCACACCTCGCCCTGTAGGGCCCAGAGCCCCGATGCTGTGAGCTTCATCTAGATACAAGTAAGCCTTGTATTTCTTCTTAAGTGCAATCACTTCAGGAAGGCGAACAATAGATCCCTCCATGCTGGCAAAACAGTAAAAAATACATACACTCAGACTTCTTAGCTCTCAACATTGGGAAACAGCCACTTTGTTAATTCCTTAAGTTTACTGCTTCTGAAATGGTCTTACAAGTCTGCCTGCTGTTTTACACTGGCAAAGTTAAATAATGCTGTGGCTATGCAGGTATTTAGAGGAAAAGATACTGGATCCTTAAAAACAAGTACCAGAACACAATTAACCTTAATTCATCACAAAGGAACAAAACTCACAGCAGACTCTTCAAAAGCTTGTAACTATAAGCAACATTAGACTTTGCATCACATTGCATATGCAACTGAACTTACACAGAATGAATTTAAAAACATGAGGCAGTAACAAAACACATGCAAGGGCTGCAAATAGCTAACCAAAATACGTCTTAAAATTAAAGGTGTATACTTTGTTTTGATGTATTAGAAAACATATTCCAATTCTTGACCCTACGTGTATAAATTCCCTCTACAAACAGAAAAATAAAGGATCCAAATAGAGAATTTGGGGACCATGTAGCATGATGGAAAGAATAAGACAAAAAGACTTCTGTTCTAGTGCTTACTCTGCTTCCAGGTATATTAACAAGTCATAAACACTGTCGCCTTAGTTTCCAGAGGGAAAGTGAAGTAAAGCTTAAAAATTCTAAGATTTCATGGGGCTCAATCAGAAAGAGAAGAATAATAAAGCAGGATTACCTGTATATTCCCTCCACAAGGATTAGAATCTTCTTCCAGGGCCTTCGTGTCCGAGGCTGACCATACACAATGGCATCTTTCAATAGCTTCTCTAGGCTTTGCATATCTACAGCACACACAAAAGACTGTCAGCATAAAGTACTTTCCTTTTTACTAACTTTATTCCAGAAATGCAAATATACATTTCTTATTCAGGAAGTGTGTCTCAGATGGTGAAGGACATTAACAAAATCAGAACAGGGTGGAGAAAGGGCAAAATGAGGGAGCCACAGCTAGCCTGAATTAAAATCTCATTTAAAATGTAACCAGTGTACAAAACCACAGAAACTCAGTAAATGACTGTGGCACAGTTGAGTAAGGTGGTTAGCAGGCTTACAAAATGACTAATGTTTCACGTTAAATACCTTGCCATTCAGTTAGCTTTTTGTGTATTTATAAAATCAAATGTATTTTTAATCTTAGTGAGTCATTTGGAAATAATACATTAAGAAGACTGAGCAAGAGTATGAAAAAACTACTATAAATATATATGCCTCTTAAAAAGCAAATATGGGGGAAAAACTTCAAAGTACACACCCATTTCCTCTCACCTAAGAGAGTCTTAATAAATGCTTCTTAAATAGCTTTTTCTTGATAGTGGGTTAAAAATACACCAATCTGGTGAGTGCCTTCAGATGGATTCCTAAATGCACAAATCGCTCTCTTAAGCAACCCTGAAAATCGGTTGAGATTATTCCGTGTCTGATTTGATCTGCTATGTGTACACAACCAAGTTCTTGTGGCTCTGTTAGTTCTTAAGGTGGTTAACAGGCCCAGGAAACAACGTGGCTGGTACTAACATTAATAAGGGTCATAGTTTTCCTGTTAAAGATAAATGCTTTGAAGACCACTGACTAACACTTAAATTATTTACCCTGAAATACTGTCCTTAAGAACTGCCCTCCTCCCCAAAATCTATGCAACATCTGGGGTTTATTTAACGAGCATGGGAGATAGCCCATCATAACAGCTGATTTTATTGTCTTTACTGCTCCTCACTGAAGGAGAGGGTTATAAAAGTCCCATGATTTTGCTCTTTTCATAAAAAAAAAAACACTTTGATAGGAAAGAGAAATAAGGTAGTAAAAAAACATACCACCAACAGAAATAAGACGGCCACAGGCTGTGACTATGTTTACACCTTCAGTTACTCATAACACAATGTGTCTGCTCCCTAACTCAGAGACAGGACGGAGGTGCTGCCACGGGAACCTGTCTGAGCGGAAGCCCTGGGCCTGCTGCGGAGGGCAGCGGGTGGCGGTAGGCCAGTGCTGAGTAAAAATGTACTCATTGTTTTAGTCCCCTCTGTTCACATACAGGAGAGAAAAATAAAGATCGATTCAAATTTTTAGATGAAAGGAAATATCTGTAGTAGAATCCTTAACCAAATTATCAACTTAGGGAATAAAATCCAGTGTCTCTCTCTTATACTCCCATGTAAAAATAAAGATTTAAGTTAAAATATAACACAAAACTACCAGAAGAAAATAAGAGACTAACCCTATTACCTTTGAATATGGAAGGCATTAACACAAAATCCTAGTGGTAAGACAATAAATGTAACAACATAAACATTTTATTAATTCTTGCACAGCAATACACTGAAAACAAAGTTAAAAGTGAAATTAAAAACATCACAACATAAAAAAAGATATAGGGCTCTTATAATTAGTAAAAAGGAGAAACCATCTGAAAAGGGCCAATTTACAAAGAAATACAAACATGATACTGTATAAAAAGTTGCTCAACACCTAATAATCAAAGAAATAAAAATTAACATGTTATTAACTTATTAGAGTAGAAAAGATTTAAAATGATTCATAATGGCCTATGTTGGCTTGTGAGTCATTATCGTGTTGTTGAATAAAAATCTGCACAATGCTTGGAGGCAATTTGGAAAAGTACAAAAATATTTGTGCCCTTTTAACCAGGCATTCTAAGACTGCTAGGAATTCATCCTAAGGCACCAATTAGACCATTGAGCAAAAATGTGGGTACAGGTAGTTCCATTTCTAGTAGAAAAATTTAGAAACAAACTGGGAGATGGACCGAATGAAGGCATTTCAAGACGCTGCCTCCCTCCCTGGCATCAGCGGCAGAGGAGAGTCACATGCATTGCCTAACAAAGTTCACGATGTGTTGTAAGAAAGAGCAGGTTCCACAATGGTAATAAATTAATAAATCCCATTTACATAAACAAAATGCTATTTGCATCATCCTCATTGTAAAGCATTTTAGACAAGACAAAGGCAAAAGGAAGAAAGTTATTATCATCTGTAATCTTCCAACCAGGAACACAAACCTAACATTTGGGTGTGTACTCTTCTAGACTTCTGTCTGTACATGAACTCGTTTTGATAAAAGATGGTATTACACACACAGTTTGGTAACCTTTCCTCCCCAGATGTATTTTAACTACAAAAGCCATGTACTTTTATGGCAAATAATTAGTTTAATAATACACAAAGATATTTCCATTTAGGGAGAAAGTCTGGATTAGTAACACAGTGCTTTTATAGCATCTGCTCACATCTGTACCTCAGTATCTGTACACTGTATTCTAACTACTGGTTTGTCTATAGTCTTCATTAATCAGAGATCCTTGCGATTAGGGAGCCTGCTGCATTCATCTCAATATCCCTAGTGTTATGTTAAGATACACCATCCACAGCCAGAAAGTCAAATAAAAGGAGAATGCCATATTTGTATCAAAAGGCTTCCTTCCGCCTTTATTTTTATTACCATGTGGAAGACAATGACGTTTTAAAAGACTGGACCAGAGGAAGGACATTTTAAATGTTGCTACTTTAGCTTCATTTATATTTTCCATTATTAATGTAACCAATGTTACTACTGTCACTAACCCAAAGAATACTAAACACTGAGACCAGCAGCAAATTGCACAACAAACTCACTGTTGTGTTTGAAGACTCGAATGGTTGCTCCTGAGAGCCTGGCTCCTAGCACCAGTGAGGCATGGTTCAGTTCATCACTCAGAATGAGGCAACCCTGCAAAACCACAAGCATAGAAGTAAAAGCTGGGGGTAAGAGGGTGAGGGGAGAAGCTTCATTACACAAATTACCAAATGCTAAAGTCATTAATAATAATAATAATGTTTTATTAAGGAAAGCCTGTGCAATAGCAATCAATTTCAAAAAAAGTATATGTGTATATATTTTTGCAAAATTAACGTAGAGGTAGATGCAGAATTCTAGCCTTCTAATTTAATTTCTTCATTCCTGAAATTGACATAAATATTCAGCTATATAGCAACAGATTTTTATTTATACCTAAAATCTGCTCTATCAGATAGTCCCAGAGAGTTTCAGTTTTGTTGGTTTGATGGAATTTCATGAGTTTTTGCTATGATATACTCTTTAATTCATGGAAAAAGTGTTTGGGGGAAAAGTGTTGGGGGGGGTAGTGTATTCCTGCATGGATACTTAAAATAGCAATTGTCTGTCTGAAATTTTTACCGTGTGTAAAGTTTTTATTAAGATAAAAAGAGGTTCCCTAGTTAAAAATGTGTATATTGAAAATGAAAAGTAGAGTTGGAGGTACCAATGTAGTCTGATAGTTTTTTAAAATTTATGTATCTATACACATGCACACCAATCGATATGTGTATGCATGAGTTAATATGCATGCATTTTTCTAGCTCTGTCCACTGAGGGGAGAGAAGCAATGATACCTCAGTAGGAATAAACACACCAGACTGATACTACTCACCAGTAAAAGGAACCAGGGTTCAATGGAGAATTAAGCAGTTGACCCCAAGGTTAGGATAAGTAAAAAGAGCCTGGTGCATCTTGTTATGTTACAAAGTGCTTTAGGAAAAAAAAAAAAAAAAGAAAGGCCAAAACTGGAACAACTTGAGCAAAAATGTATGCAAGATATTAACATAAAGGAGAGCTGAATGAAAGGTATACAGGAACTCTCTGTACCCTCCTGTAGCTCTTCTGTAAGTCTAAATGTATCTTTGAAAAAATAAAGTGTTAAAATTGAAAAAGAATTCGAGAAACTTGAGGAAAAAATAAAGAGGGGCTGAATTCCTCTTCTCCAAGTCTTCGAATCCTTTCCTTACCCACTCTTGGCGCTCTACTGCACTTTAAAAAGGGTCCCCCTCCTTTCCCTCTACACAATTTTATTTTCTTCTCTCTCCATCTCAATATCTTCCTGGCAAAATCAGCCATATAATTGTGTTCTTTATGTTTATCGCCTCCTTTTTAGACAGCCTTATTCACCATTTCTATCAATCTGTTTTTTCATTTAATATACTATGAGGCTCTACTATATCCTTTGTTCAAAAATAAAAATTAAATGGCAGCAGTTAACACCTAAATGTTTAATATATTTCAGGCATTATGTTAAGGGTTGTAAACACAGTATTACTTTTAATCCTCACAACAAATATGTGAGGCAGATACTATTAATATCCCCACTTTACATATGTGGAAACCAAGGAGTTACAAATCTTGCCCAAGGTCACAAGCTTGTAAGTGACTCAATAAAAAGCTTCTACTTCTCTAACACATGCTCTCAGTCAATATGCTGTCTGCCTCTGACTTTAGGCTGAGTAATCAATTACCTCACAGAGAAATTTAGTGTAAGATTTAAAGAAATATTAAAACTGGATTAGCTGCTGCCTTGAATGGCTTAAATTCTATTTAATAACATTTCAATTATAATGTTTGATTTGCACAATAAATGTTTAAGGTACTATCTTCTGTGTCTGTATATGAGACAGCCAATTCTAGATAGTGATTTTTAGAGTCTGAGCACACAGGAGAAGCAGGATGAGATTATTTCCCCGTTAGCATAAAAAATTCTAAGAAATTCCAAGTAAGAATCTCAAGTTTATGATGCCAAAATGTACCATTATCAAGGTGAAGTCAAAGAACCATACATTTGTCTCTCAAGAAATCTGTACATTATAGCTAAGTTCTTGAATTTACCAGCCAGGTTGTTCTTAATAATTCCTTACACCCTTTTAATGTCCATAGGATGTGTAGTGATGTACCCTCCCTCATTCTGCTACAGATAATTTTTGTCTTCTCTCTTTTTATCCTGACCAGTCTGGCTAGAGGACTATCAATTTTACTCTTTTTCTCAAGAACTAGTTTTGGTTTCACTGATTTCTCCTATTGTCTATTTTCTAATTCATTGATTTCTGTATTTACCTTTAATGTATTCTTCCACTCTTTGGGTTTAATTTGCTCTCTCTTTTTTTTTTTCTAATTTCCTATGGTACATGTTTAGACAACTGATAAAAAACTCTTATTTTTTCCTAATATAAGCATTTAAAGCTGTATATTTCCATGTGAGCACTGTTTTAGTTTCATCCCACAAATTATATTTCCAGTCCAAGTATTTTCTATTTTGTCCTTCTCTCACCCATGAATTACTTTAAAGTGTGTTATTTACTTTTCAATTATTTGAGGATTTTCCTGATATCTTTGTGTTACTGATTTCTAATTTAATTCCATTACAGTTGGAGAACATATTTTGAAGAACTTCAATTCTCTTAAATTTGTTAAGATTAGTCTAATAGCCCAGAAAATGCTCTATCTTGGTAAATGTTTTACTGTTGTTGGGTGAAGTGTTTCATAAATGCTAAGTTGATTAATAGTGTTTTTCAAATGTTCTATATCCTTACTGATTTCCATTCTAGTTCTATCAATTATTGAGAGATGGCTATTGAGATCACTTATTATAATTCTGTATTTGTCTACTTCTCCTTTCACACTCATCAGTGTTTGCTTCATGCACATTGAAGCTCTGTTATTAAGTCCACATTTAAAATTATTATGTCCTCGCCCTGTCCGGTGTGGCTCAGTTGGTTGGGGCACCATTCCATGGTACAAAAGGCCATGTATTCAATTCCGATCGGGGCACATACCCAGGTTGAGGGTTTGATCTATGGTTGGGGCATGTACAAGAAGGCAACCAATCGATGTTTCTGTCTTATCTCTCTCTCTCTCTCTCTCTGTCTAAAAGCAATGAAAACATGGCCTCAGATAAGGGTAAAATTAAATAAATAGTTAGGTCCTCTTAATGGAGTAACTCCTTTATCATTACATAATGTTCCTCTTTATCTCTAGAAATATTCCTTGTTCTGGAACCTTTACATTAATATAGTCACACCAACTATTTTTAGATTATTGTTTGCATGCTGTATCTTTTTCCCTCCTTTTGCTTTTAACTTACCTGTGTTTTCAAATTTAAAGTAAGTTCTGGTGGAAATCTACTCAATTTTGTCTAATCTGACAATCTCTGACTTCTACAATACTTGAAATATATAAACCACTTACATTTAATGTGATAGCAATATAGGTGGGTTTAAATTTCCTCTCTTGCTGTTTGTTTTCTATCTTTCCACCTGTTCCCTGGGGACCCACATATTTATATAACTGAAAATTTCTTGAACCTAATTCATTAAACTTTGTAAAATGTATTTTACAATAAATAAATAAATAATCAAGGCTTAGAAAGGCTGTGATATTATTCACAGTCCCACAGCTAAATCTGACCACATAACCAAAGAAAAACTCAAGTCTTCTGGCTTGTTAATCCCACTGGTTTTTTTCCATATACCATTCACAGATAGCGCTGTTAAAATGGGGATAAATACCACTGAGGAATCATTCAAACTGACAGTACCAATTTGCTAAAATGTGATTTACATCACTCTTATTGCTTCTCTCTTCTACTATCCCCTCTTAAACTCTACCCACACAATCTTAATGTGTGTGTATATACAGTACTTTTAACCTAAATTATTAATAACCTGTATTACTAACACATGCACTTTGTTGATGTATCTCTGAGCAACATACATTACAGTGAGAACAGGTATGTATTTTCAAAGTTTTCTATTTAGAAAAAAACTACCTGTTAAAATAACTTTCCAAACTAAACATTCTTTCTTCCATAATTTTAGCCTTTTATGAGGTTTTACTTATTAGCATCTCTTCAAAACTGGATGAAATGAAGAAGAGTCACCCAATGGAAGAGGACGGGATCACGGCTTCCAGTAAGAAAGCTTCAAGTGATGTTAAGTCTCCAAAAATCTGTGATAGAAGTATCTTTGGGTAACAATGTTTAGCCCAAAGTTTATAATAGTTTCTGGCTTGCTCTGAATGCTTTTATAAAACAAAATAAAATATATATAAGGGAGTTTTCATTAATGACAGTCTAGGTCTTACTTTGCTAACAAGTGCGGGAATGTTCATTGAATTTGTTGCAAATCCCATGCCATATGCCATAGCAGCTTCTACTCCCAAGAAACTTGCCACAAGCTTTTCTAGTTCTTCATGCTTGTCCAGGTTCCCTGTGTGAAGAAGTTAGTGAAGTCAGTATCACCAAATCCCAACTTAAGAATTATTCATTGCTTATTAAAAGAAATCACAGGGACCTTGTCAAGATGATGGCGTAGGTATAGGAGGTACTCACTTCTTGCCACAACCACATTAAAAAAATACAGCTAAATTACAAAACAACCATCATTCAGATGGCTGAAATCTAGCTGAGGGAAGTCCATAACTAAGGACTTAAAGAAGCAGCCACACTGAGATTGGCAGGAGGCATAGAGATGTAGAATGGGCTGGTCCCACACCTACATGTGGCAAATAAAAACTGGGAGTGATATCTCTACTGCTGAGGTCCCCCCTGAGGAGCAAGGGGTCCCAGCCCTCCACCAGACCTCCCAGACCAGGGTTCCAGTGCCAGGAAGAGAAGTCCCCATAACTGCTGGCTGTAAAAACCAGAGAGGATTGTGACGGAAAGACAGAACTTCTGGAGTCCCAGGAGGTTCCTCTTAAAGGGCCCACACACGACTCACTGGGACTCACTCCAAGTTCCAATGCTGGGGCAGGGAGGAACCAAACTGCCTGGCATCAAAGCAACAGCTGAGACGCAGCTTTCTCCCAGACAGAAGTGCTGGCAGAGGCCACTGTTCCTTTTCTGAGGCACGCCCCCCCCCCACACACACACATGGTAGGTGGGCACCATAACTGAGTCTCTTTCAACCTGGCTAACACTATTTGCCTGACCTTGGTGATGCTGCCCGCCCAACTTGTGGGCCCAATCAAGTTGTTTCCAGTGGCTTTTCCATACAAATGGCCTGTCTTGGCCCAGGCTTCAGGTTCTCATAAAATGTCTCAAACAAGCAGCACCTGGTCTTGACATCACACACACCTCTCAACAAGTGGTCTGAGGCCCAGCACTAGCAGCAGCTGGTCTTGGTTTACAGCTTGGCCTCTTCTGGGTACCTCCAAGCCCATCACAAGTAGCAACCATCTGCAGATTGCTTTATAGCTCATGCTGGGTAGCCCCAAGGCTGAACACAGGTAGCAGCTAACCTTGGCCTGAACCTCCTGAGAGGCCCCAGAGCCGGTGTACCCAGTGAACAGCTTCAGATCACAGTGAAGCGCCACCCAACCACCTCCACAAGAGGCACACTCACGGGGCAAACTCAGTGTGCACCAGAGCCTGCTGCAGTAAGTCCTGCTCTGTGTGGTGGGCCCCTGCACAAAGGATCCTCCATGGTGGCTGCAGCCAGTCCTCGCAGCCAATCAGCCTGGGGTAAATCCCTCTCACTGATGTGTCAATAGCAATCAAGGCTCAACTGCAACAAAAAAGTGTACACATCCCACACAGTGGGATGCATCTGGAATGCCCAGCTCAGGTGAAAGGGAGGCTGGGTCACTGGATCCCACAGGACACCTACTACATTAGGACACTCTACCAAGCCTGGGGAAGATAGCAGCTCCACCTAATACAAAGAAACAAACACAGGGAGGCTGCCAAAATGAGGAGACAAAGAACCACGTTCCAAATAAAAGAGCAGAACACAATTCCTGAAAAAGAACTAAACAAAATGAGACAAGCCACCTACTAGATGCAGAGTTCAAAACACTGGTTATAAGGATGCTCAATGAACTTAGAGGAAGAGTAGATGAACTTAAGAGAAAACTTCAATAGCACAAAAAAAGGATATGAAAACCATAAAAAAAGAACCAGTCAAAAATAAAGGATACACTAACTGAAATGAACAATAATTTACAAGGAATGAACAACAGATAGATGAAGCTGAGAATCAAAATAGAGATTTGGAATATGAGGAAGCAAAAAACACCTAATCAGAACAGCAAAAAGAATCTAAAAAATGAGAATAGCATAAGGAGTCTTTGGGACAACTTCAAGTTCACCAACATTCGCATCATGGGAGTGTCAAAATAAGACGACAGAGAGCAAGAAATTGAAAACATATTTGGAAAAATTGTAACAGAAAAATTCTCTAACCTGGTGAAGGAAATAGATATACAAGTTCAGGAAACACAAAGTCCCAAACAAGAAGAACCCAAAGGGACCTACACCAAGACACATCATAATTAAAATGCCACAGGTGAAAGACAAAGAGTATCTTAAAAGCAGCAAGAGAAAGACATTTAGTTGCTTATAAGGGAGTTCCCATAAGACTGTAAGCTGATTTCTTAACAGAAACTCTGCAGGCCAGAAGGGATTGGCAAGAAATATTCAAAGTGATGAAAAGCAAGGACCTACCCAGCAAAGCTATCATTGAGAATCCAAGGACAGATAAAGAGCTTCCCAGACAAGAAAATGCTAAAGGAGTTCATCACCAAATTAGTATTATATGAAATGTTAAAGGGTCTTTTTTAAGAAGAGGGAGGAAAAAAAGAGCAAAATATGAGCCATAATATGGCAATAAATACATATTTCCAACAATTGGAACTAAAAAACAAAATAAACGAGCAAGCAGAAAAGAAACTCATAGCTAGAGAACATTGTGATGATTGCCAGATAGAGAGGTGGATTGGGGGATGGGTGAAAAAGGTGAAGGGATTAAGAAATACAAATTGGGAGTAACAGAATAGTCATAGGGATGTAAAGTACAACATAGGGAATATAGTCAATAATATTCTAGTAACTACATATGGTGTCAGAGAGGTATGAGACTTACCAGGATGATCACTTAGTAAGCTATATAATGTCTAATCACTGGGGTATACACCTGAAACTAATATAATATTACATGTAATTGAAAAAAAAAAAAGGAAATCATAGTCTACATGATATTACCTGCTTAGACTAAGGTATAAAGGAGTCAGTATTATGAAGAGTAATGGCTCATACATAGCTCAACAGTGAAACTCAGGCTCAGCATCGGTGGTAGAGTTTCTGTAAGAGGGTTGCCAACAATTTTTCCCATTCCTGTTCACATATGGTAGTCTAGGCTCAGGTCTAAGAGGTCCAGAAACATCTGCTTTTATACTTTTGAAGTAAGCTGCCACACACACCGATCTGAGGGACTCTGGGAGATAAAAGACTAAGGAGAAGGGGGTGGCTGGCCCTCAGCTTATCCCACTGCCCCGCTGAGGCACAGACGTGTGGGTGACACCATCTTGGTTACTCCATCCTCAAACAGAATGACCCACCCAACACCACAGGGAGCTGACATTAGTGTCAATTCCTGACCAAACTGCAGAATCACAAGCAAATAAAGGTATGTTTCTGTTTTATGTCACTAAGCTTTGGAATGGTTTGTTACATAGCAAAAGACAGTTTAGCACCTTCCCTCACTTTGACCTGACTGGTAAATTTGTATTGTGATTTTACATCGGTACTCAGTTCCTTAAGGACCAAATAACACTCATCAGTGGGGCTGGCTACATGCAAAGAGAAAAGATGCTGTGAAAGAAGACTGCTGCACTTGGATGCAATGTGTTCTTAAAGCTTAATGAGGTCATCTAACCTCTATGGGCTTCAGTTTCTCATCTGTTAAATACCAATAGTAGTATTTGCTCTATCTACCTCGTGACATGTCATGAGGATCAAAAGAGGTAATATGTTCAAGCACTTCATAAAATATAAAATGTCACAAAGATGTGTGATTATTGTATGTTGTCAATGCTCCCTTAACCACATCATTGGGGACCCTGAGTGACAACCAGCTGTACTTACCAACCTCTAGACCCACGAGAAATACCAATAAATTGTCTTTTAATTCACTAAGTTCTGGTGTGATTAACAGTAATAAATATCCAGAAAGGTGCCTTATAACTTCTATGGTTATCAGTCTCTGGAACCAAATGGAAATATCTGGAATCATCCCTTTTACTAAATAAATGAAGTCTCTTTACATGAATCTGTTATCCCTTACATTTTATAGGTTTGTACTACTAATAAACAGAATTAGCATTTACTGAGTATTTTACCATTTTACAAGCACTTTACATGAATTAGCTTATTTAATTCTTAAAATAGCCCTATAAGGCAGGAATTCTTAATAGCCCCAAATTACCAGTATAGAAATAGATTAACCTTCATATGCTCACAGGCTCAGGCATTAAGTGATGCCCTTTAACCAGTACTATTTGCAAAAGTCAATAAAGTCAACACTCAAGTTACAAATGAAACAACAGTACAGAACTTTTCTAGAGATATCCTGTATGAATAACATAAAGGAAAGGTAAATATATCTCAAAGTATGTTGAAAGCATTAAAATCATCCATCAATTCAGAAAAATAAAACATTTCCTATCTGATCTAGACTACATGGCCAAGTATGTATCTGGACACTTAATATTCTAGTTCTCCATCAGTATTATTACCTCCTGAGTAAAAAAGTTGAGAACACCAGCTAGCCAAACATAGCCTGCACTCACCAATTTCCTGCCGAGTGCTGCACACACCAACTCCATACTCCTCTAGGACTCTGGCAGCTGCCTCTTTACATGATCCAGTATTCCGCGCAAATCCAAGATAGTTGTAGGAACCCATATTTATAACACCTTTAATTGTATTCCCTGTGTACCTGCATTTCAAAAGCAAGAAAGTTCACGAAGCCCATGAGCAAGTCAAATGCTTACATGTGATTATAAACATCATGGTAATACAAAAGGAAGCACTCTATACAGGAAGTAGAGAGAATATAGTCTAAATAAAAAGTAGTTCAAACTTACTGCCAGTAAGTGAAATGAAAGTTAAAATATTTTCATTTGTCAATAATGATATTAAAGATTTAAAAACTGACCATATCCAGTACTGGCCAGGACAGTTTCATGCACAGTAGCTAAGAACGTCAGTGAGTACTTTTTTTTGAAGGCAGCTTGGTAGTACTTATCCATTAAAAGTTATACAGACTCTTTGACTCAGCAATGCAATGCGTAATAATCGACCACTGAGTCACTACACAATGGACCATTTCCCTTCCCCAGGCACACAAACCAGTGACATTCTAAATTGTGGAAGCTCAGCGTGGCCTCCTAAGTGAAGATGACATGATTCACAGGCCCAGGGAGTGAGGATAAGAAATGAACTGCTGATCTTTTAACTTGAGATTTGGGAGTTTTTAACACAGGATGATGCAGCCTAACCTGCTCTACACTACATACATCAGTGTTGGAGAATACTACATAGCCACTACAAATAATGAGCTTGCTATGAATATACACAAGAAGAATTTACTGATATGTTAGCAAGTAAAAAACAAGATGTAACGATTTCTATATATGATGCCACTTTTTTTAAATTGAAAAACTACCTGTGTGTAACCCTAGTACATACAGTGCCCCACATCTGAAGGGAGAATACACAACGAACTGATACCAACGGTTACCTCTGGGGAGTGAGGGTCTGTAGGGGACTGGATTTACAGAGGGAGAGCAGAAAGTTGTCATGGGGGACTTTCAATTCATTTGTATTGCTTGTCTGTTTAAAAAAAAAAATGACAATGCAATTGTGTAATACCTGAGCTATCTAAACAACAAAATAAAATTTTACAAACATAAAAAGTTTTCTAAACTACTCAATTTAAATAAAAACACTCCATACGTCCTTGGATCATTTGAGAAATCAAAATATCCAGAGATAAATTCAGATACTTAATTCTGCTAAGGGGCATAACAGAAAGGGCGGTTTGTCTTTGTCTTTTGTTTTATTTTACTAGGTCAAATTTTGTTTTCAACTATAACCCAACACAGCATCAAACTAATAAAAGGTGTATTTTAAACATCTCAATAACAATGAACAATATGCAAAGAAACGAATCAGGTTGTAGTGAACTTTCAGCTTCTGCTGTTTTGACAAAATACAGTGAAATTTGCAACAGAATATTCTCTGAAGTGAAAAAGTTCCTTTTTTGTTGTGAAGAAATAATTTCCCAAACAAGACTTGCCTGAAGGACCAGTTGTAATCATGAGACTCCCTCTCCATGATGTCCACCCTGGCTCCGGGCACACTGCAGATGGGTCGGTTCCAGTTGTCTCTGATCCTCATGTAGAGGTTCCTTGTATAGAAGTTTTCGAAATCCTGATACAATGACACGAAGTCCTACCAAAAAATGGTGAAAGACCACACATTTAACTGAGTTACTTTTTAAAACTTTACAACTTCCCTTTTCATATTGCAGGAGCATTTGAGAAGGAGAGGTCAATTATACTGAATTAACAGACATGGGAAAAGTGTCTGAAAGGCATAAATTCTGTTTCTTTTAAAACAACTCAATCAGGTAAAAGTCATGTAGCTTTGATGGTTAACCTAAAAGAAATGGTCACCAATAACTACCTGATTGAATGAATGTAGAGCCAAAGAATGTAACTAATAAAGTAGGTCTCATAAAAATAAAACTTGGTTGCACAATTCTGTCATTAAATGGTTTTCCTTCCTAGTAAACTCAGAAAGACTGCTCTTCTGCCCCACTGCTCCAAGTGAAATACTGATGTGGGGAAATGCCATACAAACCCCTGTAATTTCAGTCTCACACACAAAAAAATAATTCCAAAATTAAGATTCCATTCTTGGCATATTTTCAAGGATCAAAATGAAACAAATTCAAAGAAAAATGATAAACAAGAAACACTAACAAGTAGCTTATGAGAAGATCCCCATCTCCTGTTTCTTTCCTTAGCTGGGAATTTTTATAAAAATTTAAAAAAATATATTAAAAGATTCTCAAAATGAACTTCCATGACCACAGACTTTAAAGCCCTTCTTTCCTCCATGGAATTAAGTTATACTAAAATTAAGTCTGTGAAAAAATAAAGTCACATAGGAACTAAGATGAATGAAATATATGCTATGTCCCATGTGGTTTGATCACTGCTTAGAATACACATGACCAGACCACATAGAATCTACTTCATTCCTGAAGGTAAGGGTAAGACAAAGACAAAAAACCAAACTGAACTACAGTTGACTAGAGTCAGAAAGCCACTGAGCTTCTGGCCCTCAGGTCCAGGCTTGGCGCCAAATCTCAATTAATCTAGTAAATAGGCTAATCAAAGACACTCAAAGCTTAAGCCTTATCTTAGTTAAAAGATTTTCATTGCTAAAGAAGGCTCTACATGAAACTTTAAAATTAATAACCTTCTATGACATTGAACTCCGAAGTGCCTACTAAATAAGCCTCACAGTAGACAAAATTTGTTTACAAAAGCCCAGCAAGGTCAGAAGGTACTCTTAGGAATTTGCAGTACCTGATACCATCTCTCTTTCAACTGGTTCTAACATTTACATTTCTTTAAGAAAAAATAAATGATATGTCTATCACAACTGGAAATTTATCACTTAAATAGCATGTGACTTTTGGTAGTCTCCTTTTCCAACAAGAAGACGGTCCAACATGATGAACGAGCCTTCCGGTGAAGATGACCAAGTGGGTAAATGCGGTACTGGCGCTGTCCTGTGACCACATCGAAATTCCCACTAAACTACAAACAACCATCATGGAGAACTGATTGAAATTCAGCTGAACAGCAGTCCTACAACTAAAGAAGCCATGACCAGACTGTTGAAAAATAAAAAATTATTAAATACAAGTGCCGGACTACAGCAAAGCAGATGGAACAATCAGAAGAAAGAAGAGTGGAAGATGCAAAGGAGAAGTGATGAGCCCAGGTGGCCGAGAAGGACGAGGGAAATGAAACCCAGAGGGGCACTGGCCTCCGATCCTCAGCTGGAGGAGAGACTGAGGGTGAGCGCAGATGGGTCAGTTGCACAAATGCCCTGGTGAAAAGGGAATTCTGGTCAGGGGTTGGGGCTGGAGCAAAGTGCACCAGGACAGTGCAGGGAGTGTAGGACACACATGCAGGAGCAGGGAAAGGGGGCTGCCTACAGACGTGACATCAGATGACCAGGCTCTGCCATGGGAGCTACAGTCTAAGACCAGAAAGCAGGTTTCACATGTCCCATGTGAAGAAAAACTGCTGTTCCCCAATCAGCATTTTAGGCTACAGTTGGCAAAGGGGACTTACCCAAAAAACAATCACTGACGGACTGTCTTCACAAAAAAGTATCAACCTCAGGACGAATAATAAATAACTGCATTATTACCAATATTTAGAATCTTACTGCTATACAAAAACTTCTTTTAGAAATCTTCCTTTGACATCTTTTGTTTTTCAACTTTCATCAAATCACAGACATTAAAATGTCCAGGCTGCCGTATTTCATATGTAGTGTGAATTAAATTGTGTGTCGTTGGTCTAACCCCCAATGCAGCCACATTTGCAAACAGGGCCTTTACAGAGGTAGTTAATGTAAATGAGGCGTAAGGGTGAGACCTTAATCCAACGAACTGGCATGAACTGGCACCCTCGTAGGAGGGACGCACCAGAGCTTGCTCGCTCTCAGCGCACTTGCACAGAGGAAAGGCTATGGGAGAACACGGTAGGAAGGCACATCTGGAAAAAGTGAGAGGCCTCACCACCAGAAACCAACCCTGCTGGCACCCTGACCTTGGCATTCCTGCCTCCAGAAATAGGAGAAAATAAATTTCTGTTGTTAAGAAAAGAATCTGGTGAATAAATATTGGAATAAAGCATCCCAATTCTAATTAAGGATTCTCCTTTGACTATTATTAACTATGAATTTATTCTGCAAAAGAAAGAATAAAAATCTTGTCTCCAATCCTTATTACCGTTTCCATAGGATAAACAGTACCAACTCTTCTTGATCTCATTTCTTTATAACCATTCTGAACACTGTACATTAATGTTAAAGGCATTAACTCAAATATCTGAAAGAAATACTCTATCACAAATTTTTATGAGAAATGGAGAGCAATTTTTTTTGTTCTTACAGTACAAGCATCAGAAGAAACTTAGAGAATCTGGTCATAACTACCATTACGGTTATCAAACTCCATGAAAGAAAAAGGCTAGAATGAGGCAGACCTTTGGGTAAACCAGAGACAAAATTGTCTGTGATTCGTAAGGAAGGGGTTGGCTCCAATCTCCTAAAAAGAGACTGCCCATGCCGGGGAGTTCCACCTCTTCTTTTCATTAAAAGAAAGAAGAATTAAGTCCCCAAGATGGGAACAAACTCACTGGGAGGGATGTTAGAGATCAAAAGCAGGTGGGGCAGAATTGGAGTAGAGGATTCCCTTTGCCCCCCAGCTAAGTTGCAGGATAGCATCTTTAAATGCAGTTTAAGTTCGGTAGAGCTGCAGGGCAGCTAACAAACTCCCTGCAGCCTAGCAATGAAGAAAGAAAGGGGACTGGAGGGGTCGATATTCGAGGTTCCAGTTCTCGGTAACATGAATATCTGTTCCCAAAAATATCTCACATACTTTAAATATTCTAGGACTAGGATTAAACTACAGGACTTATCTTTTCATTCACTCATTGGAATACCTTTTACTGGACACAATATAAATGTTGGATTTTGGGCTAGACTCAGGACACATTAAAAAACAAAACAATTCTCTCTGCTCAACAAATGACACCCCCACTAATTCCTACCCCTATCCGCCTGCACATCCCCATCCCTCCATCTCATTTCCCATACCCCTCCTCTTCCTTCTCAGTTTAGTCTGTAAACCTTTTCTGAGCACTACTTCCCAGGCACTAAACTAGGTACTGAGGAGAAAATGAGCAAGACAACCTCTACACTCCCAAGAATCTCTTAGTGTAGTGGACAGGCACACGAAGTTACAATACAGTGTAACAAGTACTTTACAGGGATGCTTACCCAGAGAGTGCCTCACTGGTAGGTGAGTGGCAATGACAGAGTCAAGCTCTAGCCTTAAGGATGCACACTTCATGGGTACTTTTCCTAAAGATCTTTACAAACCCCGTTATAGTAAGCACCATACGGTAAGTACATGGCAAGAAGAGAACAACAATACTTTGTTGAGACTACACTCTGGATTGTTAGGCTTGAAGAACTCACCAGCTATGTGACTTCTAGCCTCTAGCCTCAAAGAGAAAAAAACAAATTCACGGATTTGTTTATTAGGGATTGGGGAACATCTTACCAAAAGTAGTCTGAGGTCATCTCAATAATTAGCCAATGAATATTCATTATTGTGTAAGCCTATTTGAGGTGAGTCTTCTAAAAAAAATCCTGTACTGCTTAAAATAAATAAGTACCATATTCTGTAGTGTCCATGTAGGCCTTAAGGTCACAGGGGAAAAGGCTGGGTGCCACCACTTTCAGAATCTGACTTCAGAACCGTGCATGTTTGTTAAGAGCAATTCTGGCCAACAGAGATGTACAAACACTTTTAAGTGATGATGATAAAGATAACGAGTAATCACATCAATAGCAAAAAGAGTTCTCATTCACTGAGTACTTGTATGTCCTGCCAAGTGCTTTAAATATACTTTCTCTTAAATATCCCTGTATGCTCTTACAGAAACTATTATTCCCATTTTTAGGAGGCAAAATGGCTTTCCCAGCCAGGGAACTGTCAAAATCAAAGCCAGGAACTGATCCAGGTCTTTTGATTCCAAAGTCTGTGCTCCTAACCTCAATGCCACGCTGCCTCCCATCCTGTGCTGCTGCTCAATCTGCAATTCTCTCTAAAGCATTCAAGGCACGTTATGCCACTGTGCTGTTGGCCTTCCCACACTGCCGTGTTCTGCACATGGGCGTGCACATACACAGAAACTGGAAGGCTCAAGTGGTATTTCCCAGATCCCCTTACGATAGGGCTGCGGACGTGGTATGTGTCCTACCACTGGGAGAGAGAAGCCGCTGTTTCACACCAGTGCAGGAGACGAGCTCTAACAGAACTTCATGATGGTGGCACTGGCTAGATTCCACATTCCTGCCTACACACCGGCTCTGTGGCTGAGGAGTGGCTGACTGGCTGGCTGGCTGGCTGGCTGTGGTGGCAGCAACAGTAGTACACACGGCAGGACCAGTTTCCTAATTTGGGGTGGCTGCTTAGTTAGCGGAGGGATGCCCGAACTTTACTGCTCCAAACCCTGCACAATGTTCTAAGTGCCTAATTCCCTGTAGGCTTGAATAACCTTCAGTGATTTTGGTTTACTCCTCTGAAACTTGACTGTTTCAAAAGCACATTTTCTGTGATTATTTTTTGAGAA